GTCGTCCGTTCATCGAAGTCACGAGGCAATCTCGCTTTCAATGAGCTTAATCGTACACGCGACGTCTCGTGACGATGAATCATCGTCATCGTCTTGGTGTGGCGTTTGAGCACCACGGTGATACTATGTCCTTGTTCCCCATATATGAAATTTCGATTGCCAATTTAATTGCACGATCCCAAAGACAGAGCGAACCCTCGTGAAGGGGACTGTGCATCGCGTGCACTTTATCGTGAAATGCGAAACTAGTACTATCCATAAACAAAATTTTTGGAAATAGGGGTAGTAAATATAGAACGCAAACCTCTCTTACATAAATAAATGTTAAACTCTGTGCAGATATCAAAAGACGTACTGTGATGTAGTATTTATAACAATTGTACGAGGACGATTAAGAGGAATTGAAGCATGGACGATTAAAAAGAAAGGCGCACCGAGATAACTCGACATGATGCTGCGTGCGTAATAATTGTGACGATTATTTGAGTGCGGACACCATGTTAATTGCATCAATTAAGTGCTGTCGCTATAACAGATCATCGTCGATGCGATATTATTATGAAGAGAAAGAAAGAGAGAAAGAGAAAGTATATACATGTATATGTATGGCCTGCAAGAGTGTTGATGGAACATAACGTTCCATCAAAATTAATAAAATGGAATTAGCATTGTCTTTCTACCAGTTAATTTCTCAGAAATAATTTACTTTCTATCTGTCAAAGAAATTAGCAGAAGAACACAACAAGGAATGATGATTATATACTAACCCTATTCACTCCAACGTTTTTTTCACCCCAATATCCTCCAACCATGCACTTTCGAGTCCCACGTGTTTTTTATAATGTTAATAGCTTTGAAAAATTCCCCAAAAATTATTATAATATCTTTGTACCTTCGACTAAAAATCAATGTAAAGAACATTTGAAAATCATTTATTTAAATATTTTTTTATAACAATTATATGTTGACAAACACACGTTACGACTCGTTTTACTTAAAAAATCATAACTCACGAACAAATTGACGAAGCTTAATGAACCAAAACGCAAATTAAAGCTAAAAGTAGTGCGAATGAGAAAAAAAATATAAGATAATTATTAATTAAATAGGAATACTTAATTTCGTCGCCGCAAATTTGGTAATTTTTAAATGGTACAGAAGGACTTTAAGGACTTAAAGAATGCTAGAAAAAGAATTTCTGAATAAGAAAAGGCGAATTTGAAGTGTGACAGATATTTTTTATGTAAAAAAATTAATTTTTTTTATATAATCGTAGCTCCTCCCCACCTCTTCCACCTGCCTCTGAGCCATAATAGACCTCTGTGGAATGTTAAATTTTTTTTTTAACGACAAAAATATTTTAAATACGGTTAAATTATACACAAAAATACATTTTTATCGAAAAAAATGCTCATTTACCTTTCACACAACACTGACGTAATCCTCCAACCATGCACTTTCGTGTCCCACCGAGATTTTGATTGTTCCCCGTTTCGAGAGTAAATGAGCTAGGACTTTGAAATTTTTACCTGAGATTCCCTGCCACAATAACTTTTTTCCGGCGTGGAGGGGATTCTCCCATGATCGTTTGTTTTCCGGAACAAACGACTGTTAGAAATTCGTGGGACACGAAAGGCATGGTTGGAGCGAATAGGGCTAATAATACGGCCAGAATGATGGATCAAATTGTTCTAGGTTTTTGCCATGTATAATAACTCTCGTATCGATTCGAAGAACTGATTTCTCCTGATGAAAAATATCGGACGGTTACAGATGCTGCGAGAGAAACAGAGAGAGAAAAAGAGAGAGAGAGAGAGAGAGAGAGAGAGAGGAGGTCGGGAGAGAGGAAAGGCCCTGGGAGGCTCTTTTTCGTTCTGCTTTTGCTCGTGGAATTTTCCACGAGGTTTTATGATCTCTGTCGGCGGTTACAAAAGGAACGCGCGGCCTGTTTCTTTCTGTCCAAGAAGCGAAATGTCGCCCGGAGCAGACTGCGTCACAGTCGTCGCACCACGTGCATGCATACATGAGGGACACAACACGTGCGCGAGCGCGCGCATACACGCAACAGAGTGTATTGTAGTGCAACAGCAGTTCCCTTCTGCATATCCTTAAGAGGAATGTGAATTTTTTTCAAATTTTTTTACTAACACTCGCAACAAGTCCACTTTCTGGCTGTATTGCTAAAGTTAATAAACATATATATACTAACACTCGCAAATGGAAAAGGATTATACGCTTATCTTTACACCGTATATCTCAAGTTGCGACTAATATATTATTCAAAATATAAGCAGACTGGATTATATATCTTTATAAGAAATTGCAAATTTTACAGCAAAACAAAAGATCTTTTTAAATACATGGAAGCACTCTTAGTGCGTAATATTACCGCGTTAATAATAAATTGACATTTGAAATTTCTCTAGCTGTACTCATTTTTCAAAGAAATTTTTACTGATTATTTTTTCTCAGATTGTATTAGCTTCAAATTATTTGACATTCTCAGATTGTATTAGCTTCAAATTATTTGACATTTGAGATTAATCCATGTTTTTTCGACGTACAAAAAATGGGAAAGTTCGATTGCATTTATTATTCTCTTTTTTTCTCTTTCTCTCAAATATATATTAAAAAATAAAAAATAATTTATTTTATTCAAATTTTAGATAGAGCTATTGTGGGGGGTTTACAATACATTTCTATCAGTCGCTACCATTAATAGGCTTCGCTGTATATATTCGCGTATATGGGAACAAAGTATATCGCAGATATAAATCAGAGTTCCGTGAAACCAGGTCAAAAACCTCCGCGCCGTATAGCCCTCCACGCTTATGTAACCTTGTCCTACAAAAGTGATGCGAGAGGGGAAACATAGACGCTCCTTTCTCTCGCAAGGAATCGTTTTGTGCATCTCGTCCGCTTGCACACGTGTGCGGGATCTCTTCATCTCTCAAAAGATCCTCCCGCTTTGCCTAGCATCGTCCAGCCAGCAATATTCGCGCGGGAATATATTCCTCGAATGTCGTAGGTCGTAGGTGGATACTTAAAGGCAGATTAAAGGGAAGTTACGGCGAAAGATAATCCTTCGAGGAATATAATCGGTTAGAAGATATTATTGTCGACAGAAAGTCAATACTGTCCTCTGCTATATCTTACGCGTGATATCTAAGGTATGTCAGAAATGTTGTTATTATATAAACGTCCAATATTTATATTTGCATATATTTATAACATACAACACTAACAATGCCTCTCAGTAATTGACATCCACGATGTCTGGATACCCGGTATATATTTCAGCTTCTAAAACATTCGAATAATTTAATAATACGAAAGCTCGGTCGTAAACCTTGACTGCTCGCGTGAAACGTACATACGTAATGTACAATTCAGTTATTTATCGTTTTTTTTTACTAGGTCAAATACTGGCACACTCGACAGTACTAAATTGTCTGTGACTGTTTGATGAAAATATAATGTCACGTTATATCGATTGATCATTTTACAAAAAAAACTGACTTCTAATTTATAAAGGTCCTTCCTGCATTGTCATCTTTAAATTATATATTTACATATATAAGTTGGTTGATGTAAATAGTATATCTATTCGATAATAAAAATTAATTCATGATAGACTCGCGGCAAAAATTGTTATTGCTTCGTCGTTTTGCATTGGGGCTTAGACTGGGGATAAGGCGCTTTTCATACTTATCTAATGGAAAATTCGATCGATTGCTTAACAACCGCCAGACATATTATTCTTGCATTCGCTCGATAATTGTAGGTTCAGCGTTGTTGAAAATTTAACGGGCTCTGCCAAGAATGTCCGCGCATTTGCGTTTTGGACGTCGTGGACTCAGAATATATCCGCCTCTTTTAAGCCACGTGAGCGCGGTACAAAGTACGAGAAAATTGTCGACTGACTCTGGTATGTACATACCATGCACAATGCACATTCCTCATTACGAATAAAAAGAAAATCGAGATTCCACCGAGGATAATCTAAGGTCTGTTTTCTGTCGCTGCACTGCTGAACTAGTGCACCCTGGTGCAGTAAGTTAGAATGGGACAAGTATATTTTATTTCACTCTAACTTACTGCACTAGGATCGCTCGCACGATCCGCATTGCGCGCTTCCACGAGAGAATTTTATCCGCGGATAAAAAACCTGATGCGGGATAAAAGAGCGTAGAAAAAAAATAGGCGCCGCAAAAACAAGAAAACTTGACGTAACGTCATCGTAGCAGATGTTGCATTTACAAAGGATCTTCGTCTTCTTTTCGCCAAACAAACGACGACAAATGCACGCAGAGCCAGCCGGTTCTCTCGCCACCAGATCTTCTCATTATAATGCCGGAACGGAGGTTTAAGGTGTCCTCACGCTGACGGGAATCCGGGCTGTATATAAAGTCAGTGTAAACAGTATCTTTTTAAGGACTTCATGCAGAAAGGTTGAATGAACGTTTGGAGATATTCAGGTCGAATAAATAATACGCTCGTGCCATGAGGTTTGAAAGATAACAATGCAATAACTGTAGAGCACACAATTGAGTATAACTCGAAAGAATATAAAATAACATGAGGACTATAATACACGCAAAAATACTGCATATCTATATGTAACGTAATTATTTTCGATTGACACGAAATAGAGAATGGTATCGTCGTTGTGAAACGATCTTTAGATCCATACGTCTATATATATTCGCACATACCGCATGTCTGTGCAGTCTGTTGTTCAACAATAAAAGCCGATCGTCAAGTTTCTAGGGCCATTGTTACAAGGTCCGAGAAGTATAAGGAGCAGCCAAGAATTTTACACGGCGGAATACGGAAATAGAACGAAAGGTATTGCTAGTCAGTCGCAATGCATTAATGAACGCTTCGCGAGTTTTGTCAGAACGGGAGATTGTTAAGATTGAGCAACATCGGCGATGTGCGTATAATTAATCATGGATATATAATATATGTATAAGTACGCGTGATTTTTTTTCACACGACACGTTATTACGAGATGCACGAAAAGAGCGATTATTTAATTTATCCGAATCATTGCGTTGACGCAATCGTCGTTACATAATTGCGGTAAAACAAAGATGAAAATTACGTGTCAACTGACGCGACAGACTAAATTATGTTGATTGCCGATACGAGCGTGTCAAGAAACGGAGGGAAAAGTGTCGGGTGTGTCGATTACATCATCACATTGCAACGCGTAACTGGAGGTGGACAAGAAGATCGGTTGACTGCGCTTCGAGGCGCGATTCCCAACGCATTGTGATAGATTTTGATAAGCAATTAATTATATATTTATATATGAGGAGGTAAGTTAAGGAGACATGTAGGATGATCGTTCGTCGACAATACGAAGGTTTTTGGGATTTTTTAAGAGAAGAAACATGTCGAACGATATATGTATATTCGGATAAACGTAGCTCTGAGACAAGCTCTGATCAAGCATGACTTACAAATCGTAACACCGACATTCCGAATTATACGAACATATTGAGACATCGAGACGGTACTATTGTGATGTTTAAGATATTCGTAAATACAAAGATGGGTATTGGAACAACCGGTAGTCATCGGTCACTCGCGACGAGGTATATCTCATTCTTGACGCCGGCTGCGGCCGTGCCGCTCGAGAGCCCCTCGCGATCGTTAGTCCGCGAACGAGTGCTCGCGAGATCACTATATCCTGATCGTTTCTCCCCGGTTTATGTGTTCGAAAATCTCCTCATCTCCAACAAAAGATCCTCCCGTCGGATCCACGTTACATTAGTACTTGAACTTTGAATAACTTCGTTGGTAACTGTCGTAGCTTATAAATGATATATTATAATTTTTTTTTTACTTTGCCAAGCAGACGCACAGGTGTCTTTTCCCATTGAATAAAATCTACGTTCTAGATGTTGTAATGTTTCCGAATGAATTTGTCAGTGCCAAAGCCATTCCGTTCCGTCGCCCCCGATCGTAATCGTAATAATGACACAATGTGGTGTTTCCAACAGCCAACAGAACGGAGCTGCCATCACAGCGATTACTCCACATGTGGACATCGCCGTCGCGACTCAGGATCGGCCGGGCACCTAGGAAAAAGACACAGCCTTAAGCCTGCATCGTCAGCTGCCGCGGCCGGTGAAGGATGGAGAACACCGATGGATCCAGAAGGAAGCTCTCCTTCCTCGGCTTCGGCAAGCGGGTATCGGTAAGTGTCCATGGTGTCGATTACGGACTACTAATTAATATATTAGCGCGAGCGAATAAAAGACGCGCCGGGGCTAAATCGAAGGGAAACTTATCTAGACTTGTATGCTCAAGCGTATCGGATGATCTAATAGCTATACTTCGGCAAACAATATTCCATATCAGGATTGGTATGCTACTTGGACTCTGCCGCGATAAAATGCATATCGCGTTACTTCAATGGCATAATATCTTCTACATCTACGGACGTGCGACCACCATCACACAGCTATCGCGTTCCTCGTATCGCGAATTCCCGTGTCTAAAAATATTTCATATCGATTAGCGAAAAATTTTCACGTCACAGATTTCTTGCGCGCCTGTCCCTTTATCTCATCCTTTTATCTCAGATAATTTTTTTTTTAATAGAGAGCTGAGAAACGCTTATCGCCGCTCTCTCGCCTTTAATTTTTCCATCAGGCGAGCTTTCCCCGATCCGACAGAACAAACGGATTAATAAATGGCTCTAACGAGAAATTATACAGCAATTGCGGTGCATAACGATCGGCATTTCATCGGCGTTTGCGATGCATTTTGTCTTTTATGTATTGTGACCGTAAAAGATAATGGCGACAAGACTAAATGGACAAATTCGATCGCGTTCCCGGCACGTGTTATCGTTCGAATCGAACGTAAGCAGATGTAATGGGGTTCCCGAGTGAGTCACAACGATTCGTGTCACACATTCGTGTATGCGAAATGAGCTGCGCGTTGTGTGTGTGCGTGTGTGTACGAAGGAGCAGAGACCCGGTCCGCGCGAAATGGCGTGCGAACTATCGCGTTTCATCGCGGTTGTCTCCCGACTCCGACATGGATTCGTAAAAGCAGGACGACCTCGAGGCAGGACTGATTGGCCTGATTGTTGACGGTCACGGGTCAATAACCATTTGACACCGTGTGCGCGGCGCACCGCGCGCGGATTGCACGACACGGCCGGCCGCTAGAAACGCGAAACGGCGCGGCGCGGCGGCGCGATGGCACGTGACTTCGATCGGAAGGAAAGTTGCCGAGACTTCCACGCTAAACCGCTATCCTCGCAGGTCTTTACTGATGTTGGAGACCTGGTAAATTCCGCTGTCCTCTTCGTGGCGAAGACCGCGGACCAGAGATCGTTAACGTAACGCGTTACAGTTGCGTAAGCTTGAGGAATCGAGTCCAGATGCGAGCTTATCCCTGCGAATGCGATCATCGTTAACGACCGTCGCAAATTGGTCGCAAACTTCTGAACTTTATCGATCATTGATTCCTGCTTTGCGTTTCTAATGAGATCCCAGCGTGGGCTCCAGCGCGATGCTAGTTTTTCGATTCGTGAAAGGCCGCGATTAGTTTCGTCCCGCTGACCTGGATCGAGCGATCGAACAGCGAAGTGTCTCGCCCCCCTTTTGCCCTTAGCGCAAGAAAGTCGCCTAATAGAAACGCAAATTGGACGGAAATGTCCGGAAATTCGATTCGACGTGTCCCCTTTTCTCCGTCTCTTCTCTTTTCAGATGTTTTAACTGTAATCCGAGAGTGAATGACGGAAGGACAAATTCCGGGAATAGATTTGCCTCGCTCGTTACTTCTCCGTTTACAGCGCGTCTCGTCTCGTCTTGCATCGGGCGCGGGGTTTAAGACGTTAACGAGTTCGCCGTTCGACATGCCATTCAAGCGCTTACGCAAGGTCGGAAGCCGCAAATTTGATTATCAAGAGCGGTGTCAATCGTATCCTCGCTATCAGACAGCTCGAACGTCGCTGGCATTGTCAGTGTACAGGTGGCCCGTTTATGTCGGGGGCGCGTTGATCCGTAAGAGAGAGAGAAAGAGATTCCTTCTATGTTTGCAACAAACCCGAAGGTAGGGGACCACTTTCCGTAATAACATGTCGTGGCCATAAGACGCTCGCCACCCACTCGATTCTATCCATCCGGCGCGCCAAGAAAGATCATCCGGCTTATTACGCAACCAAATTTGCACCAAGTCTCATTTGCCGATCTATTTTACAAGTCGAACAATTTCGAAACTCGAACATCCAAGTAGCTTGAAGCGTCTTGCGGCACTTTTACCACCGGCAATTTCTTTAGCTAAAAATTGTTGAGCCTTTGTCATTAAATGCGGTATTATAGGTATTATGCGGTAGAACATAAAAAAATGATCCATTTGCATATAGATGCAGGAATATGCAGTTGCCGCTGCGCTGTTTCTGCGATTATATGCAACGTAATTGCTTTAAAGCACCAGCGTTTAAAACGTGAAGAATATAATAGAGATAGGAATAGAAGATAGAAGAATATAAGATGGGAGATCTTTTGGAGAGAAGACAAAACGAACGATCTAAGATTCGACTCCTCCTTCATCTTTATCTCTCGCGTATTCCCTCGCGGTCAGTCGCCCTTCGTTTCCTAGTCAAGTTCAAGGTTGGATGTTCATTTAACTCGCCGCGCAGGGTTGGCCGCGCTGCGCCGCGCCGCCCCGGCCTCGGACGACGTGCTCACGGGTGCGGAAGGCTGCGGAATCGCGTGCGTCTTGAAATTGCAGAAAACCAATCGCGTAATTTGATGCCCGACAATTTAATGTGATAAAGAGAGGATTAACTTTAACGGACGTCAATAAAAAGTCAAGTCGATAAATCTTTTAAATATATAATGTAAATAGTAAATTTCTTCAATTTTTAATGAGTGCACTCCTTGCTAATTGACGAATAAGTTAGTGCGTTCACGTTACAGAAATTGGACAAAAAATTCATTTGAATGTGTGACAAAACGTTTGCGAAAATATCATGAAGGAAAGTTGAAAGTATTGGCAGCTTTTTCTGTGGAAGCTGAAGAACATCTCGGGCATCTACCTTTCTCTCATCCAGAATTTAATCGCGTGCCTATATCCTGCTAGAAATGATCCACAGCAAGAAACAATTATTGGCAGGAAACGAAACCACTTGTTCGTTAAATACTAAGCTCTCCATCGATTTCCCTTGTCGGCATTTGGGAGGAAAGGTCATTGCTGGTGGAATAAACTGGGGAGGTTGCTGCGGTTCAGGTTCAAGGTCACTCGGAGCAGGAAGCGAGGAGCGCACGTCAAGCGGAGAAATGGGAAAACACGGTCGATGATGGAAAAGCTTGTTTCTCACTCGTCTCTAATACTTCTCACGCGATCGCAGCCGCGGCGTAGGTGGCGATGATGAAACGTTGAAACATTGACGATCCATTCCACGGAATCGGTGGTTTCCGAGGAATAACGAGTATCGATCACCAGTACGGATAATAGATTATTTTCTTTTGCAATCTTTATCAGTCGAAATGGAAAATACAAGATAATTGTGCGTGTAATATCCAGGAGGAAACTATACTTTACGCTCTTCGGACAATATTATATTAGCCGTCATGTCTCTTCCTTCTCTTTCTCGCACGCTTCTCCGCTAACAATGATCGATAACACCTATATGACTTAGGCCTAGCCGAGGTCGAGTCGGTCAGCAATTCTCGGCCTCTCCCATCGCTTCTACCATCTGCCACCTTATTCAACACCATCAGCTGAGCTGAGCTTTCCCACCTGCGGAGATCCCTCCCCTTAACGCCAGTTTTTTTCTCTCTCTTTTGCTCTCGAGGTCTGTTCCACTCGAGCCCTTGTATCCCAGATTTCACGGCCGATTGACACTTGTTGCGTCCGCTAGCCTTTGTCAATCATCCGCGCACTCTTCCCGTGAGATTTCTGATTCCAAATGCGCCAAGAGATCGGCAGGTGTACCTCTTTTCTTTAAGGAGGATCAGATTGGAGGACCGTAAGGCGGCCCTTTGTCAGAATTTATCAGCCGTTGATTAGTTAGCTGCAATTCTCTGGTTGATTCTCATCCCATCGATAAAATTATAAATAAATAGAATTAGTAGAATTAATAATATTATTAGCAAAGTGTTTGGGAGATTGGTAAACTCGAAACGACATTTCCTTTCTCTAGAATCTTTACGGAAGATACTCTGGTAGTCTTTTTGTGCATCAAAGGATTAACTCGAGTCATCAGGAGCAGTACTCAAAGGCATACGACCATTATGTAGGAAATTAGTTTACAGGAGGGGAAATTGAAAATCCTGAATTGAGATCCTGATAAATCGAATGAGCAGAGGAGGAAGGACGGGGCGGGGGGGGGAGGGAGACGGAGGGGAGGAAAAAGAAGAATGAAGGGATTGCTCCTCGATTGAGCGTATGGGGTTGATATCGATTCACCCCCTACCACGGATTGTCGCGCGTTTCCCCACCCAGAGCCTTCCCCTCTTTCGGTCTTTCCGGTCCGGCGGGCGCCACCCTCCGCCCTCAGTTCGGATTCCTCCAGCTCTCAGCGCCGACCGGCCGGGTTGTCACTCGGCCCGGAATGCCATGCCCGAGGCCACTGCCGGTTCCTCCGGGAAGTCGTTCCTGCAGCGGGCACGGGGCAAAGTTCTCCGCTGGTTACGACGATCCCTGCGGACGACCCACCAGGTGAACACCAGCTGTCCCGTTCCCTCGAAAAAGCCGGTCACCTAATTCTTTTCGCGCCCGCGATTCGCGCGACCGAATAAACTGTCCTTCGGGAAGGCAAGATTCCCGTGTTCCTCCAGCTGTTCTCGAAATTATCCCTTGGCGCCTTTTGTGATCGCTGTTCGATGAAATATCATGAAAGTTTGAAGTTTCTGTGACGTTAGTCATGTGGGCTGTGAAAAACGGAGGCAGCAATCCGTTAGATTTCATAAAGCTTCAAATCTATGTATGACATTCCAATTTCTCCTGTTGAAAATTGGAATCCAGAATTAATGAAATTTTAGTGGAGTTTGCTAAAATTAAATATTTCAAGATGCTCTTCAAATGCTTGTTGAAAAAAGAGAGATATACTTCAAATATCTCTCAAACATTTCTGTAACTTTATTATGGGCAAAATACAGTAAAGAAATATATAAGACATCACTTAAAATATATTATATTAATGCCTGTAATCCACAAGAGATATAATCTCCAATATTATTTCATTTTTCCCCATTTTTTTCCATTTCGCACTCGTATAACTTCTCGTTATTAAAATCGTAAGTGGGATCATAGATTAGCTTAGCAGATGTTAACTTAGAAGGACATTGAACATGTAACAATATTTACTGAAAAAGTATTCTCATTTATTTTTATTTATTTATTAAAGAAAAGTATATATTTTTCTGTACATCTGTATCGATACGTGAAAATAGTGTGGAAAGAAAGTCTACTCGTAAAACTCTTCAACTTAATCTTGTCACAAGCACTGGAGCACTGGTTGTACCGCGTAATGAAACAGCTAGATTTTTTTAGTTTCGCCAAGTTCTTCGGACGAACAATTCGTAGAAAAGAATTTCGTGAATGACTGCGCAACGTTCGTTTTGATGATCGTGCCAGATGACGTGCCAGATTAATTTGATGTTGTTTCAAGATTTGTTAGTGCGGCGGATAATGGAAAAGTTTTCGATGTTTTTCATCTTTTTCTTAATACTAAAACCAACCAACGGTTATACTTTTATGGCGCGTTTGAAGTTGAAATTCGTGCCGCGAACACCAATTTAATCTCCCGCAATAAAAAACAAGTTCTACAACTCGAACTTTATCGGGAAAAAAATGTATTTATTTCCGTGCGTCACAGATCCATCGCGATACAAAGCAGGATTTCGACAATGTATTACAAAGTGCAGGATCCCCGGCAGGATCGATTCTCAACGGCTCTTTGACTATTTATTCTAACCGTTGTGTGTTTGACACGAACAGATATTAGCAGCATATTTTTAAGCTTGTATGAGAATGTGAAACTCGATGAATAAACTTCAAAGCGAGTTTCCATTTTGAAACGAGGTTGATAAATAAAATTGTGCACGGCTGATGCACAGTAATTAATTGGATACGATGTAATCTTTTTTCAGAGCTAAAAAAGTACTCTCTAGAAATACACTATTTTTAAACAAAATGCGATGCATCCGAAATTAGTAAGTGATATTTCTTTTAGTTAATTATAATCTGTATTAAGGATCTTTTTCGGAAATTTTTGAAATCCATTCTAAAATATCCTTTTGCACATCTCTCACACATTAACATGGATATATATAGGAGGTGTGAAAAATCGAAGTGTATATTGCATAATCAAAACGTTAGTCTGTCGCCAATATTCTTTTGGCATTATCTTATGTCCATTTCTAAGTCCAAAGTAGATTAACTTTAATCTTAGGTTGACTTACCCGTTTATCTTTTTCTAATTCTTAAAACTAGAAAAAGGTGAAAAGCAAGTTAAACGGAGATTAAAGTTAATCTGCATTAATAAAAATGAACATAGGTCTTCTAAATGTAACTGGCACTTGTGAAGATATGTTGCTCTCTGTAGAAATCGATATCTGTATCCTGAATTGCATAGGTAGAGTGGCCTAGGGCGATTAATGCACTTATATAGCTCTTGCGTACCTTATAGAATGCCCTAAAAAGGATCTTTCGCGATTCTTCTCTCCAGACAACTTTTCAAAGCGGAAGTTTCGGAAGAAAATTGAAGCAATTATTCTCCATATATATATATATTTATAGCCCCCCCTCTCTTTTTCTCCCTTCTCTTCCTCCTTTCTCTTATTCTCCTATTTAATTAAGTTTTCCATTTTCCTATTTTTAAGTAAGAAAATATAACACGTATTTGAAGTCAGCGTTTCCCTTTAAATGATTGCGGCAGTTTAGTTCGGTTTCTGCCGTCAATTTGCATTCACAATGCGTTCGACAGATCTGCTTCATTTCTGCCGCCAATCTACCGTACAGTCTCTCTCTCTCTCTCTCTCTCTCTCTCTCTCTCTCTCTCTCTCTCT